GCACTGGGCCCCGAGGCCTCGGCACAGGCCCGGAGTGGCCCCGGGCCCGCAGAGCCCAACTCCGAGGATCCTCCGGCTAGCAGGTCTCCGGGCCCGGAGCGTGCCAGTCTGTGCCCAGCAGGCGGCGGCCCCGGGGAGGCGCTGAGTCCCAGCGGTGGGCTGCGGCCCAACGGGCAGACCAAACCCCTGCCCGCGCTGAAACTGGCGCTGGAGTACATCGTGCCGTGCATGAACAAGCACGGTATCTGTGTGGTGGACGACTTCCTGGGCAGGGAGACCGGGCAGCAGATCGGCGACGAGGTGCGCGCCCTACACGACACCGGCAAGTTCACGGACGGGCAGCTGGTCAGCCAGAAGAGTGACTCTTCCAAGGACATCCGGGGGGACCAGATAACCTGGATCGAGGGCAAGGAGCCCGGCTGCGAGACCATCGGCCTGCTCATGAGCAGCATGGACGACCTGATCCGCCACTGTAGCGGGAAGCTGGGCAACTACAGGATAAACGGCCGAACGAAAGTAAGTGTCTGGGGCTGACGACCGAAGGAGGGTCTGTGAGGACTACCCCTCCGCCCTCGCAGACCTGGGGCGGGCGCTCTGCCTTAGCGTGGTTGCTTTTGTCCCTTTTAGCCCTAGTGCAGACCCCGCTGGAGTCCTGGTCACTCCTGAGGGCCACTGGGATACCTGCTACCACGGGTCTAGGTGGTGCATCTTGCCCGGGTGCCCAGGCTAGTTGAAAGCCCCGCGGTTTTCAGCGCGCACCCGGCTCTTATTGAGAGCCAGACGCCGTGTGTGTTTAGCTGGGAGCCTTGTCAACCGCCCCCAGAAAGGCCCATTTAAAAGCCTGTGGTCGGAAGACTCCCTGTATTCAGGAAAAGCTTGGCGGCCTGCTCCCCCTCCTTTTTGTAGCTTTATCTTGTTGGTTGTCCCTACTGTTTTGAAACCCACTACCAAACCGGGAAAGAGGTGTTTCCGTTCCCAGGACTCATAGTAGGTAGGTTACGCTCAGAGCACAGGTCCCCTCTATTCGCTTTGTTAATGTGATCCTTCTGTTGAAAAAGAGCTGTTTTTGTGGCTTCCTGGATTTTTTCAATTTTTTTTTTTTTAGCAAAACCCATACGGGATTGGAAGTCGGAGGGCTCCTTTTAATCTTAGGTTTGGTGGGATGTTTTGTTTTTTTAAATTTTATTCCTCTTACCGTGGCAGTTCCTTCCAGGCTCCTCCTCCCTCCCTCCTGTGGCAGACAGCGGCTCTCCTCCACTTTTCCTTTCCAGATCTGAAGCTTTTCTTTGATTCACTCCCCAGGGCCAACCTGACCCACCCTCACACTACAGTCAGTTTGAGTTTTGAGAGGTTTTGGAAAGCCCTGACACACAAAGTTTCTACACACAGGCCCTTCCCAGTAGTTATTTCTTGTGCAGGTTTTGAACTATGTTGACAGCCGTATGGGACTGTCAGACCCAGCGTGTATGGGAGGGGAAAATACAGTGGCTGTAACGAGCAGGCTAGCTTTCCAGGTCAGTACTGGAGGGGGCACCTGTCTTCATATCAGGTGAGAGCGCAAGAAAAACGTTGCTGAAGATTAAGTTTCATTCAGTCGATAGAGCGCTTGTCCGTAAGCCATGCCCGTACTTCATTGACCCCAGTTCTCTGGAGCTGAAGGCAGAAAGATCACAAGTTTGAGCTCCGCTCCATCTCCAGTTGGAGGTCAGCCTGGGGTACGTGAGATCTGTCTCCGAAAGTACAATCAAATAAAGCCGGGAAGGGCATGGAAGTCTGATTGGAACTCAGTCTGGGCTTCTTGTGAGATTTTCATTTATTTTTAAAAAGAAAGGCTGTCCTGGGTCACATATCTGAATGTCCCCGTCTCTCCAAGAAAGAGCTACTGGTGGGGGGGAACAGTCTGGAATAAGTTTGAGTGAGGGGCGCAAGGAAGGTGGTTTCCTCTGTCTGTCTGGACCAGCTTTCCTTAGTTGAAGTGATAGCGAGCCTCTTCCCTCCTGCTGCCCTTCGTCCTGCTCTTAGGGGAGAGTCAACAGCCTGGCTTTGAGGTCTGAGCTGTCTTGGGAAGCTGTTGAGAAATAGACACCCTCTTTCCTCAGGGATTGAAGTAGCCGAAGGAAACAGTGCTAATTTAAGTCACTTGACTGGAGGTCTTATCACGGGAGCAAGGACTAGCGTCCTAGCAGGAGGATGGGTTTGCACTCTGAATTTGAGCTGACGCTTTCTTTATTTCAGGGTCTGGGAATGATCTGAAGGACTTCCTTTCATGGAACCTCACGTTTTAAAAATTACGTTTATTACTTATTGTGCGTGCGTGTGTGGTGCAGGCTAGAGGACGGCTTTCTAGAATTGATTCTCTTCCTACCAAGTGAGTCCTGGGGATGAAACTTACGATATCAGACTTGGCGCAAGTACCTGTACCTGCCGAGCCATCACACCAGACCACTATTGTACTGATTGGCAGAAAAATTATGGGCAATCATGTTTGAACCTGTAACTTACGTATTTTTTTTTTAAGTACTGCTTTTGAGCACGAGGACACCAATTGCACGCTCCTCCCAAATATTCGGCAAATAGGCTGCAGACTCGGCTCTGCACAGACACTGTCACGGAGCAGTGCCGGCCAAGGAGTAGCATCCCTGACTTACATCTGGGGTAAGGGTCGGCTCAGACTAGGCCAGAGCCCACCATTCTCAAGCCAGACTTGGAGCCTATTTTTCCTGCCGCACTAGATGTAGGGAGACATCAGGTGAGAATGTGTTTTTCCTCACTGAGTGTATGACTGGAACTTCAGTTCTGATAGACATTTCTGTTGATGGTGAGGGTCTGGTTGTGTGAACTTTTGACTGTGCAATGTTTGCTCTGTATGCTTCAAAGCAGCTGTGTCTGTAGCCACTGAGTCATGCTCCTAGGGGTGGTCAGAATGAGGCTTTAACGTTTGATTGCTTTCGGGAATATCTTTGTATTTGTGCCGTGAGAGTGGTGTTGAGCTTACTTCCAGTGTGTTTCTCACTTTGGCTTTTGAAGCAGTAGCGCCTGTCAGTGCTTGGTCCCCACCTCTAGGTTAGAAGAACGAGGTCACAGATACACTTCTCTAACTGGAAGTTCTGTAAGATAACTATGATTTTTTTGTTTGTTTGTTTAATTTTATGTGTATGAGTGTTTTGCCTGCCTGCATGTTTGTCTGTGTGCTGCATATGTTCGGTGCCCAATGGAGGCCAGAAGAGGGAGTTGGATTCCTTGGGAGTGGAATTACCGATGACTGTTGTCCACTGTGTTGGTGCTGGAAATTGAGCCTGGGTCTTCTAGAAGAGCAGCTAGTGAGGGCTCCTACTCACGGAGCATCTCTCCAACTCCCGGATACCAAGCTTTAAGTCACGTCTTCCACTTAAGCTCTGAGTTCTCTGTCACTTACAGCATCGACATGTGTATTAGGACATGGACATAAAGTTGTGAGACTTGCCAAGTTAACTTCCCCAGTGTTTGCTCAGACATGCGCATCTGGCCACTGCTTATCCACCCTCTTGAAAAGAGGAACCCCCAAGGGAAGATGAAGTAATCCAGGAGAAAACCAGAAACGTGATTGTTGCCACTGATGTCACCCAGCTCTCCTCTCCGCTCCTCTCTCTGGGATCCTCACCCTTCTCTTGCCCTTAAGCTTCCCTTTAACCTCTTACCCTTTCTCACATCCTTCCTTCCATCAGGAAAGCTCACGGTGACGTCAGCAGCAAGGAGCCACAGTCTTCCCCTTGTACAGAGCAATGTGTGAGCACTATCGGGAGCCACAGGCGCTTTCACTGGGTAGAGAGAAGTGGTGGAGAGGAATGGGACCCGCGGGGGCACCATGCTCACCTGCTGCCGTTTCTCTGGAGGAAAATGGTCCTCATTGAGATTATAGTGGCATCAGGTGTCGGGGCACACCAGGTCTTAAATCCTAGCACTTGGAAGGCAGAGACAGGTGGATCTCTGTGAACTCAAGGCCACCAGAGCTACAGAGTGAGACCTTGTCTCGAAAAGGAAAAAAAAAAAAAGGCTGAGTCAGGAGAATAGTGAGCCTGAGACTAGCTTGGGTTGAATAGAGATACCTGTGTCCGAGAAAACACAAAACAAACCACTAAAAAGTAGAATTGCTAGAATTGAAATGTGTGTAATATTTTTAAATTTAGTTCCAAATTTCCCACGTTCATTTAAGAACGTATATAAAGAAGAGCTGTTGGGGATACAGATCAGGGCTGGTACACCTGCCTGGCTTGCGGAAGGCAGCCAGCTCCAACCCCAGCACTGCAAGGGGAGAGAGAGGGGAAAAAATAATAGGATGAGAGGAACGAGCACCTTCTACTGCTCACTCAGATTCTTCGGGTGCTTCCGTTAATTAGGCGGCTCTGGGCGGCTTTTAGAGCAGAGACTAGGATGAGGACGATCCTGCTGCTTTATTGCAGCGACCCCAGAGATAGGTGCAATCCTCTTAGATGATAAAACCCTGCAGTGAGAGGCAAATACAGGCCTGCGCTGTGCTGCACTGGGTTCAGACTAAAGCCTCCTGACCTGTGAGAACTAAATCTCCTGTTTGTCGGCCTCAGAAGAACAGACCCAGACAGCGGTGTCTGTCCCTTGCTGTTTTGGCTTCCTTCTCTGGAGCAGCGATTCTCAGCCTTCCCAGTCTGTGACCCTTGAACACCGTTCCCCTTGTTGTGACCCCTCCCCCCAGCCATAAAGTTATTTTGTTGCTACTTCATAACTGTAATTTTGCTACTGTTATGAATCATAAATATCTGGCATGCAGGATATCTGATGTGGAACCCCAGGTTGAGAACTGCTGTCCTTGGACATAGAAATGGGAGCAGCCTGCCAGCGGTTGATAGCCACATCAGCTGATCCCTGGCAACTGCGTAGGAGATGGTCCTTAAAGAGATTAGGAGGTCACCATGGAGTCAGGTGTGATGGTACATACCCTTAAGTCCAGCACTCGGGAGGCAGAGGCAGGAGGATTTCTGTGAGTTTGAGACCATCTTGATCTGTATAGGGAGTTTTAGGCCAGCCAGGACCACAGTGAGACCATGCTTCACAGAACACCTTAGTGCTGCTGAGAAAGGAAGGACAGCATGCAGGTTTCGTGTCCCTGCTGGTTCTGCTGGGAGAGCATGACTGGCTGTGGTTTGGGGCTAGTTGCTTAGTGTCTGTGCGCCTCAGTTGGTATTGACAGTACTGTCTGCTTCTCACGCTTGCTGTGAGGAATCTGTGACCTGCACACAAACAATGCGCTGTCCTGGAAAGCAGTACACTGGACTTTATTAGCTTTCACTCTTCCCATGTAAAAAAAAAAATCACCAGTTTTCTGATTCTTTCTTTTCTTAGTTTATTTGAGACAGAGTCTCACTGTGGAGATATAGCTGTCCCAGACCTTGCTGTGTAGACCAGGTTGGCCTCACAGACTCAGATCTAGCCCTGACCCTTTCTTTAAGAGATTACCGCGTTCCCTGTCCCTCCACCTCTTGTAAGCTGGAGAAAAGAGGCTT